TCGGCTCGGAGTCCTTGGATATATTTTGCTCTGTCTTAGCCGGATCAGGGTCTTTTCCAGATGGATCTATATCAGATGGTTTCCTGCAGAGTGTTTTTTCAGTATTTAGCATTATTTTCATCGGAAAGCATGCTGAAGCGGAATTATACCGAGAGGTCTAATACCTGGAAGATGTTCTGATCTTTGGCATTGCGCGGCCAGCCAGTTTTTTCCTGGGCATGGTGCGCTTTGGGGGTTTGTTAGGCGAGCCCTTATCCCCAGTTTTATCATCGTCGCCTTCATCATCATCAAGTACCAGTTTTCTCTTGCGAGGACCTGTTTGACCAGCCAATTTGGAGGTCTGAGGTTGCGGATCTGGTCTGATCGTTGGCCCTCCACCTCCCTGAGCGGTGTGTTGGCGAGGAGACCGGCGCTGAGAGACTGGTGGATCTGACTTCATCAATGCATATTCCTGCACAAGATGCTTCCATAGTTAGTCAATTCAGCATGAAGATAAAACTATGTTCTGATCATGGTTTGATAGTTTCCGATGCATACCTGTGGAGGCGGATTGAATGCGTTGAATGGCACGACCGGCAGTTGGTGAGAGTAGCTGACTACAATTGCATTTGAGAAGATTTTATACATCCTCTCCTTCATGATTTTGAAATCCAAGGAGTCTGGTTCTTCACGGTTGGGATCATGTTTGCCGTCGAACTCGAATGCTGTGCGGGATCTTTCCTTAATTGGCGCCAGTCGGCATTTGATGAAGTGCCGAGTGATTTGCTCTCCCTGTAAGCCTTGTTCTTTAAGATTTAACATACGATCCAACAACTCCAAGGCTTGTACTGCTTCATCTCCGATCGGAAGAGAGTTCCAAGTGTCTTGGTACATTGGAGGAAGACAAGAGTACCCGGGAAGAGCAGGCTCGGGATTCTGAACATAGAACCAGTTCGCATGCCATCCTTTGTTCGAAGTCTTGAAGGGCATCGAGAAATATTTTTGGCTTAGAGTTCCCCTTAGTTGGAATCCTGCCCCCCCGACTACACACGGTTTGTTCTTGTTTGGTTGGGGTTTGAGGAAGAAGATCCGGCGGAATAGGGCAAAGTGAGGTTTGATCCCCAAAAAGGCTTCACAAGCATGGACGAAATTGGCGATATGCACTATGGAATTCGGGTTTAGGTGATGCAAGCTGATTCCATAGAAATTCAAGATCCCGCGGAAAAATTTTGAGGTCGGAAGAGCAAAGCCGCCGTAGAAGAAATGCGAGAAGACCACAATCTCATGAGTATCCGGAGACGGGAAAGCCTCACCGTGCGCTGGTCGCCACCCGATGATTTCCTTGGCAGGGAGAACGCCGTGCGCCACCATCTCCTTAAGATTCTCCTCCGTTACGTCGGATGTCGCCCATTGGCTTTCGAAGCTTTCTCCCTCTTCCGCCATCGGTTTCACTCAAATGTGCTGATTTGATTCGAGGGATGGCTTGGGAGAGGTGAGGGATTGAGGCGGTGGATCACGAGAAGGATTTTGATGCACTTTTCGGAGGTGGATTTGGTCGGAGTTGTGAACCCTAGTTCGCAGGCGCAGCTTTGCACTGTAGCAGGGAGTGGGGAAAATGGCGAGAGTTCCGGCGGGGAAGACGAAGCGTCGCTTGGATATCGGATTTTTCAGTTAAGGGTATCGGAGGTGCTAATGGGCCTAGGCCTGAACAGTACTTCAGCCCAATACTTTTAACAGCGTGGCCCATTGTGTTCCTTAGGGACTTAGGCATATTTTGCTTTGGCAATATTATGCGCACAACAGTGTTGCCCAATGCTGATAAAATCCTTTTTATGCGGTCATATAATTCTTTGGAATTATTGCAATGCAAATTAAAAAGGTGCCCGACAGAAAGGCGTTATGCTGTTTTTGCAAGCTTTTTTAGGCTACAAAAACTGTTTGGGTTAACTAGGAATGACTTGTTTTTATTATAGTCATTTCCTTGGCGTCTTATATGCCTGTTTTTATGGTAAATAGTCATGGCCTAGGCTATTTGACTTATTTATTACCATAATCTTTATAATACTTGATGAGTAATCTTTAGAGTTTTTATTCGGATGCCTGTCAAGTGTGTTCATTCGTGAACCTTTTAGAGTGTAAACCACTCGGATTTCTTTTATTGTGGCTAAAAAGCAGTCGGCTAGCATGCCTATTTAGGCGCCGCGTACGCTTTTGTCATATAATGCACAATTGTGTTATTATTTTGTCTTTCAACTATATGTTTAGTTTGTTAACTAATCACATAGTTGGGGGCTACACCTAATTAGGTGCATCTATTCGATGCACCATATTCTTTATCTTTTCGCCCTTTACAGTCCACTCGGCAGATTTTGGCTTGAAGAGTTTGAAGTACTCGGATTATCATCTTTGAGAAGGCTACGATGGTCGACTGCAAAGGACTCGGGGGCTACTGTGGAGATCATGGGTATCCCATATCTACACGGCGATGGTATTCGAGCTGGGCACAGGATACCTAATGTAGATAGAATTTCTTATTTGTATCTTGGGTTTGTTTCTTAACTTGTGTATCAAGGAAACACCCTGAAACTTAGTCGGTTACGACTGTATCTTACCTATATTTTCATATTCCGTTAGGGATATAGATTATCTTTTGTAACCCGGACTCCTTCCCATATATAAGGGGGGTCCGGGCGCCTCTAGGGGCATATGTTGATTTTTCTCGAATCATACAATCAATAATACACTCGGCGGATTCATCCCCGGACAGGAGTAGGGTATTACTTCTTTTATAAGAAGGCCTGAACCTGTATAAATCCTTTGTCTCAAAACCCATACACTTTTCCAGCTTGATAGCCACCCCCTTTTATTATTGCCGAAATCTAGTTTCGACAACAGGTTTCATCGCCCCGGCGAAAAGAGGAGGAAGAAGAAGAAGAAGAAAAACAAGAAGAAGCCCAAGCAGCACTACACGCCGCCGCCGCCGCCGCCGAACTACGAGGTGTTTCCGACCATGGAGCCCGACGATCCGGACTGGATGCGGCAGAGCGTGATGTACGCGGAGGCGGCGCTGGAGCACTACAACGCCGCCCTCGTCGTCGAGGGCGGCGGCGGCGGCGTCGTCAACGAGCTCGTCAGGGCCATCATCAGCGGCGTCATCATCACCTGCAGAGCCGACTACGGCCACGTCAACTTCATAGCCAGGGCCGCCGCCAGTGGCGGCGGCACCTTGCGGCAGGAGGAGCGGCTCTTCTTCGCCGAGGTGCGTAACGACGGTGAAGGTTGGATACCGACGTGCCTCCGGTCCCTGGACGACGAGGCCGACCGAGTTGGCGGCCTCGCCGCTGGCGACGACCCGCCGGTCGGCCGGTGGAAATCCCGGAGATCACCTCGCCGTCGCGGACGGACTTCTGCTTCAGCTGTAACGGCGAGATTAAGCATCCCAAGGACGGAGAATCCTACCATGCCGGACACTTCCTATAGCTAGCTAGCTGAACCCTGAACAACTGATGTAATTACGAATTTAAGATCGATACAAAATTTTCAGTTGATGTTATTAGCATATCCCTGGAGGCAATAAAAAAATCCACATATTTTGGAAACTCTCTATTAAGTGAATTTAGTTTATTTTTTGTTTTACAAAAAATGTTTTACCTATTGTACTCATAATGTTTCATTATGTATAGATCTAATGTTGCATTGAATAAAAATATTCCATTGCAAAAAAAAACCCATATATTTTGAAAACCCCCTATTTAGGGAATTCGTTTTATTTTTTGTTCCACCGAAAAATGTTTCACCTAGTGTACTTATAATGTTTCACTATGTATGGATCAACTGTTGCAGTTAACTGAAACATTCTTTCGATATTTGTTGAAACATTGTTTTTATATAAGGTGAAACAACACCCGATCTAAACGAGTGAAACATTTTCGATCTACTTAGTGAAACAATTCCGATATACCTGGTAGAACATCGTGCAATATTTAAAATTATTCAATAATAAGCTATTTTTTTCGTCGGAATATATCCATGTGTGGTCTTGTTTTTAAGATTTAATTGCAACGAATTTAATGGTGCAATCGGATCATGATTTGGATAAGTAATTTAAGAGAAAAATAAGTTTAAAGTAGTTTTGCACGTAAATCGGTGCTGACGTCAGCGCCCGATTTTACTCCAAATCGCTCGGGCGCCCGAGCCGTAGGCAACCCAAAATTATTTGCGCCACGCGCGTACGTGTACAATGGTGTGGTACTATGACAGTTGATGTTTTTTCAAAAATTTATATCCCAATAGGTTCTATGAATATCATACTATTTATAAGATTTTATTTGATTTTTTTCTTTTTTATCAATTCAGATTTGAATTTGGATGAAACTCATCGAAATCTCATACAGCTTACTACTTTCGAGCCTCATCGAAATCTCGAAATTTCACTGTATTTGACCGGTCTTTATTGGAATTATGAACCCTGGTGCTGTGCTGTGTCGTCTGAGAAGCTGTTTTTACAGCATTGTTTGGTGTAAATTGATATCCCCTTCGTGACTCTGTCTGGATATGTTGCCTATATCTTTAAGGCTGAGTTCGTTTGTTGCAGTCAGAAAGTACTCATTAGCATATAATTAATTAAGTATTAGCTTTTTTTAAAAAAATGTATTAATATGGTTTTCTAAAGAAATTTTCGTATAGAAATTTTTTTAAAAAATACACTGTTTAATAGTTTAAAAAGCGTGCATGTGAAAATTGGGGGATGTGAGCTGAAAAAGGTAACAAACGAACAAAGTCGATGAATCTGTCCACGTCCCGTATTAAGTTTGTTTATTTTAGGTAAGGATGTAAATGTTTTGTTCAAGCAATGGGCATTTGATCGGAAGAAATGTCTTCACAGATTTGTTCAGCCAATAAAAAAATATTATTAAACTCTCCTTACTGTGTATGCTTGCTGAAATCTCTCGTTGAAGATTCCACGTGAGTATACTCAAAGCTGAAAGGGACCCAATCACAAACTCACAATGCATGAAGTACCACATGTAAATAAAAATTAGCATGGCCAATTGCCATTATTTTTGTGTTCAAATGTTCAAAGCCTGAGCTTCCCCGTCATGTTAGAAGTCAGGCTTCTTTGGAAATGGGGGATGAATATGTGCATGTGCAGCCGTTTAGGATGGACCTATGGACTGGTGAAGTACACTGAACTCATTACCATATTGCAAATCTTATTTTACTGTCCAGATTTACGGATCCTGACAAGGACACGTCATGCCACAGTGCCACTTGTGCAACAGGTTGGAAATGTATACACGAATCATTTGCCAACATGGTACTTGCATTGCATAGTTTGGTCCAAGGAAACTGCCCATTGACGCAAAATAACTGGCAGACTGAATTTAGTCTTATCACCTTCGTAGTAGTATATAGAATGTTAGAATCTCACTTTTTTCTGCAAGTTTGGGCAGCTAGTTCCGATAACAGCTTGCATTGCTTGTCATTTGAAAGATCAGCTTGAATGCGGCAACCACCATGGATGCAATCTTCACCTCTCTGCTTCTCCTCACATTGATCCATCTGCTTTTGTACTCCTCCTCAGCTCTTGAATCCCTCTTGCCAGGCTCCCCTCTCTCTGTTGAACGCAGCTTGGATCTGCTCTACTCACCAGATCGTACTTTCACCTGTGGCTTCTACAATATCTCCCCCAATGCCTCCACCTTCTCCATCTGGTTCTCAAACTCCTCCGAGAAAACTGTTGTCTGGAGCGCAAATCCTCTCCACCCTGTGTACACATGGGAATCAAAATTTGAGTTGAAATCCGATGGCGGCATGCTGTTGAAAGATTATAATGGCCAGGTTGTGTGGACCAACAACGTGAGCTCTTCAAATGCGGAGCAAGTTCAAGCTAAGCTCTTGAATACTGGAAACCTCATCGTGAAGAGCAAAGGTGACACCATTCTATGGGAAAGCTTTGCTTTTCCTACTGATACCTTGCTACCCACTCAAAACATTACTGCTCGAATTAAGCTCATATCTACTAATAGATTACTTGCCCCTGGTCGCTTTAGTTTCCACTTTGATGATCAATATCTACTTTCGCTGTTTTATGATGAGAAGGATCTCTCGTTGATCTACTGGCCAGATCCAACTCAGAATATCTGGGAGAAGCACAGAAAGCCGTTTAATAGCACTGCAAACGGTGCTGTTGATAGCCAGGGACATTTTCTTGGAAGTGATGATGCAAACTTCACAGCTGCTGATTTGGGTCCTAGGATTATGAGGAGATTAACACTAGATTATGATGGCAATCTCAGGTTGTACAGTCTGAACGATTCAAGCGGAACATGGTCAGTCACATGGATGGCATTTCCTCAGCTCTGCAATGTACGTGGTGTGTGTGGTATAAATGGAATATGTGTGTATAGGCCTGCGCCTACATGTGTGTGTGCCCCTGGTTATCAGTTCAGTGACCCAAGCGATTGGAGCAAAGGCTGCAGCCCAAAGTTCAATATCACTAGAGAACAGAAAGTAAGGCTCCTTAGGCTCCCAAACACTGATTTCTTAGGGAATGATATAAGGGCTTATCCTCATGTTTCTTTGCACGATTGCAAGAAGATATGCTTGAATGACAGCAACTGTGTGGGGTTTGCATACTGGCAAGGAAAAGGTTATTGCTATCCGAAGACTGCTCTTCTTAGTGGTGTAAGCTTAATTGGTAGTACTGGTACCATGTATATTAAGCTTCCTCAGGAATTAAAAGTGTCGGATCATCAAGTCCCCCGTTCACAGCCTTTTGATCAGAAATATGTCAAATACTGTACTACAGTTGACAAATATTTTGTACCGGATTTCTTGGATAAGCTTAAGAGCGGTCAAAATGAATCGAAGTATTGGTACTTCTATGGTTTCTTGTCAGCAATATTTGTTGTAGAGGTATTATTCATTATATTTGGATCACTTATTTTGCAAAGGGAGGACAAACAACTAAGAGAACTAGCTGAGGTTGGCTATGAAATGATAACCAACCATTTTCGCAGATACACCTACAGAGAGTTGGTGACAGCTACTAGAAGGTTTCAGGATGCAATTGGACAAGGAGCATCAGGCGTTGTATACAAGGGGGTCTTGAAGGACAAGAGGGTAGTAGCTGTGAAAAAGTTGCTAGACATAAACCAGGGGGAAGAAGAATTTAAGCATGAACTGAGTGTGATTGGCAGGATCTACCACATGAATCTAGTGAGGGTTTGGGGATTTTGTTCTGATGATTCACACAGGATATTGGTTTCAGAATACGTGGAGAACGGTTCATTGGATAAAATATTGTTTGACAGTCAGGAATCACAAGCCTTACTAGAATGGGAGCAAAGATTTAAGATTGCTCTAGGTGTGGCTAAGGGATTGGCATATCTTCATCACGAGTGCTTGGAGTGGGTCATCCACTGTGACATAAAACCTGAAAATATACTGCTTGATGAGAATTTGGAGCCAAAGATAGCTGACTTTGGCCTTGCAAAGTTGCTACATAGAGGAGGATCCAATTTAAACGTGTCACGGATCCAAGGAACTAGAGGCTATTTAGCGCCTGAATGGGTTTCTAGTCTTCCGATAACAGCAAAGGTTGATGTCTACAGCTTTGGAGTGGTGCTTCTAGAACTACTAAAAGGAGCTCGTGTTTCGGACCTTGAAACAAACAAAGATGAGGAGGTGGAAATGGTTCTCGGAAGAATCATTAGAATGCTAGCAGAGAATCTAACGTCTGATGGGGATGAACAGTCATGGATTGCTGACTTCATTGACGCCAGATTAAACACTCGATTCAACAACTTGCAAGCAAGAGTGATGATGGAGCTTGCAGTTTCATGTCTGGAAGAAGACAGAGCCAGAAGACCCACCATGGAAAGTGTGGTGGAGATGCTTGTTTCTGTTGATGAAGCCGGTTGAACAATGTTGGAGTCTTCTATTTCTGGGTGAAGAGATCTGTCGTTTGACTGTGTGGTAAATTTTCTCGCAAGATATCATCTACTATACTACTATAAATGTGTCCAAGCCAGTGAATGTATCATTTTATTAATTATTATGTACTACATACACAATGTGTTGTTTTAGAAATAACAGTACTGGAACTAAAGTGCAATATTTTGTTGCAATAATGCCAACTATGACTGAAGAGTGGATCAGATCAGGCAGTTTCCATTGGTCTCCCGTGTCCTCCTATTGATAAAAGCTAAATTATAGTGCTGATATTTGCATAGCATCTTGGCATACAATATAGTTCTAGCCTGGTACGCTACGCTTATCCATAGCTCGTTCCCTTGGCAGATTTGGGACTCGTTTTGAGCTCTTCACAGCGCCAGCACAGCTGCTGCTGTGATTCAACTTCATTCAGGATCGGATGAGTCGCGGCATCAGATTTTGGCATCAATTTTTCAGTTGGAAGTTTAACCGGACGAATGCCCGCACTCCCCATGTCGACGATCCCCTTTCTACACCCAAACAAACCTAAATGACCTCGTGCGGGACACAGGGACAGAGAGAGAGGGAGCAAGTATTCCTCACACCAGCGCCAGTGGAGATTCGGAGATGGATCCTGCGCTGCGCCGCACCGCGGGCGCCTCCAGCTGCCCACCGATGCGCGTCGCCGGCGCGCGGCGGGAGGGCGACGGCCGACGGCGACGAGGCCACGAGGCGGCGCAGGGAGCGACATGCTGTGGGAATAAGTTCATTCTAGGTCCCTTAACTTGACACTGAATCTGATTTTCGTCCTCGAACCGAAAAACCAGATACATCACATCCTCCAACTAAGCCTGCCAATGGGTTGGCATCCACCCCGAATCCAACCCAACCCAAAGTGACTATAGCAAAATTGTCACTCCAATCCATACCAAGAATTCCTTGAGCTAACCCCACCCAACCCAACCCACAAAGTTGCTCAGTCCAGATTCAACACAATCCACGGGTGGAATCCATTTTCCAACCCATACCCAATCCACGGCAGGAAGCAGAGCAGAGCAGAGCAGCCGGCGAACACTCACGCTGCATACAGCTACTAGCATACTTACAAATAACATAAGCAAGATGCAAAAATAATCAATCAACACTACTAGCATACTTAGAACTTTTGATGCTTTAAGTAGTGCCATCCAACAAGTTTTGGCAACTAAATATTACAATTATCACTAGAGATTCTACTAGAGCAACAGGCTCAAGAGAAAATCTCTAACAAAAAAAGCTATCAAGCATTACAAGCCTCAGAACCATGTATAACTGAACACCAATAATTTCTTCATGTCTCAATCTTTAGATTACCTTCTAAGATAACCAAAACCAAAAACCCTTCCAATTCTCAGCCACACATTCTTGCAGATGACAGTAACCTGAAAGAAGTAGATGTCATCAAAAATTTATATCCAGGAATAACTAGAAAATTGTGAGTTCGTTGCTTAAGAAAGCAAATATACAAAATTACAATAACAATTTAAATAATGTGACCTTTGCAGTGTTATCAAAACAATGTGCCAAATTGATTCAATTGGTAAATAATGAATAGTAACATTTTATATACAAACAGAATAGGCAACAAAGTGGTAAACTCAATTTTGGAAAAATGCAGGTTCAAGAGAAGTATTCCATTCCAAATTTCCAATACGCCAAAGGAAAAGTTGAATTTAAAGTTGCATATATGTATATGGAAAGTCACCTTTCCATCTTCTTCACTTCACCACCTGAATAAATCAGGACAAATTTCCACCTGTAAATGATATATGATCACTACTTCATGATTGAAATACACAGAACATTTATGGAGGAATCATTTATCACTATTATACCTTCAGCACCTGGAATATTGATCAAAGGATCGTTGGCTTTAATTAACCAATCTTTCGCACAAATGAGAGCTTCAAGCATTTCAGGTGTTAACGAACTTCGTGTGTCACCAAGTATCCTGCCCCCACAACTGAATGCTGATTCGGAAGATACAGTGCTGAGGGGTATTGCTAGGAAATCTCTGGCCATAGATGACAATACTGGGAATTTTTGAGCATGTCTCTTCCACCAGTCCAAAACATCGAAACTCTCACTATCCTCCTCAACATCTTCTTCTAAATATATGGCAAATTCTGATTTCGTTTGCCGTGCAGTTCTCCTTCGAGACTTGTATAAAGCAAACTCTTCCTCGAGTTTTCTTTTCCCAAGAACAGGTGATCCAACACTGTTGCTGCCTTCACAAGAATGTGAAAGCATGTGTTCATCATTTCTTCTTACAAACCCTTCGTATTTTTCATAATAATCCTTCAACCAATCTTCAGCAGAACCCACTTTTTTGACAATCTCTGTCACACTGTTAGATGTTTTCTCATAAAAGAAATTCAAATAATCTCCTTTTCTTCTTGGATCTAACATTGTGGCAATGACAAGTGCAGAGTTAAACCCACTGTCCCAATATTTGACAAACTTTGAGAGCATAGCTGCAGCCAATACCTTTAAAATATCACTAGTCTGCCAATCAGGGTCATTCAATGCATGACGAATTTGTAGCACCAAGGGCAAGAACCTATGTGCTGTTGGTTTCCTATCTGCTGACACCGATAATGTAGCTTCTTCAAAAGCTTTAAGAAAAGCACAAATTGATTCAACTTTCTGCCATTCTAGTTCAGTAGGTGCAACTTCACCATGTTGATTTGCATAGCTATCCAGGACAGATATGTACATTAATCCTTCTACAATCATTTTATAGGTGGAATTCCATCTAGTCGGTGTATCAAAAGAAAAACTCAACTTCGAAGGAAGATTTTTCGAGTTTGCCATAGAATTGAAATCTTGCATTCTTGATACTGAAGAATCTAAATGCTTCAACAACTCACGTAGCTTGTGTATTATAGGTTTAATTATCTTCATACCATCCTGAACCAAAATATTTAGGATATGGGCACAACATCTAACATGCAAATGCTGACCCTCAAACATCAATGCATTCTTGTGATTCTTTATCAACTCTTGACATGCAGAATTGTTATTACTGGCATTATCTAAAGTTATAGTAAACAGTTTGCTCTAATGCCTCAATATGTCAAGCAACTCATTATAGCTTCTTCAATGGCGAATCCCGTGTGGGGATACTTCAATTCCTTAAAGCTTATAATTTTCTTCTTAATGTTAAACTCTCTATCAATATAGTGTGCTGTGACAACCATGTAGCCTATATTTTGAATTGAAGTCCACATATCGGATGTTAGACATACGTGCGAATCAAGATTATGTAATTCAGCATGCAAGTCTTCCCTCATTCGCTCATACAAGTTAAAGGCATCATCACGAAGTGTTTGACGCCCCACAACTTTGAAAGTTGGCTGCATGGACTCCACCCACTCCAAAAAATAAGGATCCTCAATTTTCTTGAATGGCACCTCTGCATGAATGAAGAATCTGACCATTAGCTCCCGGCTTCTCTTGGGAACAAACACGAAACCTTCCCCAGTCTGTTTCTTAATTGTTGCAAGGAAGTTGATTCTAGCATCACCATCAATAGCTGGACATGATTCGGCTATGTGATTAATAAGGTGACTTGTTCCTGACTTTTTGGTGGCTGTCAATCTTAAGCTACAATATTTGCATTGAGTCTTGGGGACACCATCTATCATTACAACCTCTTGCTGAAAGTGTTCCCATACTTTAGCTCTCTTACGTGTTCTTGAAGATTGATTATTATTTGGACTATTAGTACCTGAACTCTCTGACATTTGTATGGACATATTTATTATTGAGTTTGTTCAATTGTCTGCATAGAGGAAGAAATCTAAAATCAAGATAGTTGAAAGAACATGGTCTATAATTATTTTTTTCACACATTGTACATGTGCTACAATCTAAAAATTGCACACTAAAATTCGATTGACCATAGAATTAATTTGCATCTCAAAATCATATCAGGACTCAATCTGTAATGATATGTTAAATAATTTGCATTGGGAGATGAAGGGAACCTGCATTCACTATACCTCCTTATCTTCTTCTTGAAATCTTGGAACTCCTGCACATAAACCCATCGAAGATTGTAATCTTGAGCAAGTTAACTCCTCAGTAAAACCAACAAAAAAAACAAAATCTTATAGAAACTATCACACCAATCACACTGTTCACATACGTCGTGGTACTTGGGCTTCTTAGGGAGATTGGCGACGCGGCCGGACCGCCAGAGGAGGACATCCTCGCCAGCGCCCGGCGGCGCACGCACCTTCCTCTTCTTCTGCTTCACCTGTACCCGCAACCACCAAGATCAGGAAGAGACCCAAAAAAAAACACAAACAAAACAACCAGGATATATCAAAGACCGAGAAAAACCAGGGAAAAAGAAAAGCAATGGTGGTGGGGGAGGGAATCTGACCGGCGACGGCTTGGCGGCGGATTCGCGGACGGTGGCGGAGAGGTGGAGGAGGCGAAGCAAGGGGAGGGAGCGGCAGCGGCGGAAGGAGTGGAGCCGTGGACGACTGATGACGCTAGGTTTGGACTTTGGAGAGTACTGGACTGTCTAGTGCATCCAAAGAAATCCATGGACTGAATCCAATTTGGATCCAAAAATCAGAAACCAAAAACCAATCCAATCCAAACCGTTTCCACCTCCACCCTAACCAGTCCAGCCCATTAAACTCCTCAATCCATTTCCATCCATCCAAACTACACCCAAAGCTGAAACCAATCCATTGGGCCCATTTCAATCTAGCCCATTGGCAGGCTTACCTCCAACTTATAAAATCAGTACAAATGAAGTCCCTCGGCGATATTGAACCTGGTTTTGGCTGACGTGTCGTCGACATGGCTTATTTGACTAAGTCTTCGTACCACGTGGCAATGATGTGGCGCTTAAGTGGCAATCTAATCTAAAAAATAATAAAAACTGTGGGACCCACAAATCAGGCACATACAAAATAATAAAAAATGTGGGACCACGCGGGACCCACATGATGGGGTCATTCTTCTGTGTTCGCAACCGGAAATCCCCAATTCACCGGCGGATACGACGCATCTAGCCGGGGGCTCGCCGGCGAGAAGCAAATCGACACCGCCGCCAGAATGTGTAACGGAATCAGCTCGTGCAGGTAAGACGAGCGGGCGGTTTTCCGGCGGCCGCTGCCATCGTTCGGGCTCGAGCGGAGGGCCGCATGTCGGGCCACGCGGGCTT